TGCGGAGGCTGCAACCTGGAGCGGGAAGAGGCTGGAAATCGGCCCCCTCTCCCGGGCTTGTTACACGTAGGCTCGGGTGCTCCGCTGTAGCGCGCGGAGGAAACAGGCGGCGCTGGGAGCGAGACGCACCCTTAGGCTCCCTGGGGAGAGGGCAGCAAAGACCCCCACCCTATGTCCCCAGCCCGCTCACCACAACACCACACCGCGACCTGGCAGCAGCAAAAATGGCCGAGCTAGTCCCGAGCCGGGGCTTAAATACACAAGAGCCACGGGGCATGCTGGGAAAATTCCCCTTCTCAGTCTGGAGCGGGGAAAGTTAAGCGCGCGTGCATGGGGAAGGGGGAGGTACATTGACTATACGCATGCACCCTATGTCCCCAGCCCGCTCACCACAACACCACACCGCGACCTGGCAGCAGCAAAAATGGCCGAGCTAGTCCCGAGCCGGGGCTTAAATACACAAGAGCCACGGGGCATGCTGGGAAAATTCCCCTTCTCAGTCTGGAGCGGGGAAAGTTAAGCGCGCGTGCATGGGGAAGGGGGAGGTACATTGACTATACGCATGCGCGATACGAACACGGGACGGTAGAGTTTAAAGCTGAACCCCGAGTGCGCATGTGCCTAGTGATGGCGGGAGAACGAATACGCGTGTGTATGGAGAAACCCCGCACGCGCAGGCGTTCTCCTGTTTGTGCCATGGTTGGGGGAGGCGTCCTTGGCGGGAGCGAACTTCGGGGCTGTTCAGGGACGGCTCCTCCCCGCACGCGCAGACGCGCCCGCCTCCCCTTCCGCAGAACCTGGTGCCATCCCGCCTGGCCCCTGTCGGCGGCGTGTCCCGCTGCCTCCCAAAGAGCCAGCCAGGCCTGGGGCGCCCTGGCTGCAGCCTCGTGGCTAGTTCCAGCGGGGCCGCACTGCTGGTGCCTCCCTCCCGCAGACAAGCGCCGAACCCAGTCGCCGGGGCTGGCCTTGGTCCCGCTTCGCCTCGCGCTGTTCTCACGCAGGCTAGCGGGTCTGGCGAATGGGTGCAAGGGGGGAGCAGCGCTTCAGGCTGTAGGGCAGGGGAGGGGAGCCACCGACGCATGAAAAATTAATGGGGGTGGCGCACAAGTGAGAAGCAAAATAAAAAGGAAAAACCTCACTGAGGTAACTGAGGCTCCCCACATTCCCCTCCCACACCAGAGCCTAGGGGGGCCCAAGCTAATAGGATGTTACGGTTCCACCCCATGGTGGGGCACCCCACATGCTGGGGAGGGAGCCATGAGCCCCTGGGACTGGATCCAGGCAAGCCAGGGGCTACATCTGGCCCCTGAGCTTTCGGTTCCACACCCCTGCTGTAGGGTGTGCCAGGCAGACTGCTAATGTACCTGCCTCACAGAGCTCCTTGGGAGACAGCTTCTGTAAGGTTGGGTCACAGAGATCCCATAGTCAGGGGCGGATATAGGGCAGGGTGAGCAAGGCGGTCGCCCCAGGCCCTGCACTTCAAGAAGCCCTGCGCATGCACCATGGCGCCACTGCACATGCACCGTGTCAAAGGGGGGGGGGCGAGAAATTGTCATCTGCCCCTGCCCATAGTGACTGTCGTACTACTAAGCCCACTTTCCTCCCGCCCTCTAGTTCTCTATCCCAGAGAGGACTACCATCTGGACTCAGTAATTTAGGACACTCCAAACAAACTCCACCCAGCCGCCACCTCACTGTACATATGCCAGCACCCACCCATCCTCTCTTTCCCCCACCTATCCTGTGCAATCTGCTCTGCAGGCCAGGCAGGGACGGATACAATTCTGCATCTCATACTTGCAGGCATCTGCAGCCTAGCTGGGAGTTACAGGACACAGAAGCACAAATTCTCTACCCCTCCCGCCAGGATACACAGCAAACAAAATCTCCACTTACACCTCATCCCAAGTCTTGCAGGCACAAATAGCCTACAGAACACAGCACAAACTCCTTGCCTTACCTCCACCTCACCTTAATGCCAGCACCCTCCCCTTTACCCCCACTAAATGGCACCCATGTTCTGTTATGGAAGCCAGGTGCAAGGACAATAAGACTTGTCAAGTGGGGTTACTGAAAGAAGACTAGATGTATGGACGCCTTGGGAGTCAGCAGCAAGTGCCTGCTTTTGAAAGCACCCTCTTTGAAAACGAGTGTGGCAGCATTAAGACAACACCGAGGAGAAGGTGCTACAGAGGACTAACTGCATAGGTATATGATGACACACAGATTTTGCAAATGCATGTGATGACTAACTGGTATAGATTTGCATGAGAGGGAAGCCACTATAAATCTAAGGTATCTTACAGGATGTTGAAGCAAAAACACGCTCCTCTGTGTTTAGGCAGCTAACAAACAGCTTTATTAATTAATAAAGCACAGCATGAGCCAAACGTGGTCACAGCAGAGCCAGACCCAGTAAGGCTGCTAATACAATTAATCCTAGTATCTTTATACCCTTAGCCAAACAGTCTGATGTCAGGGCATCCAATTACAGAAATCCTCAATTAAATTTGGAAAAACCAAACCTTATCAACAAGATGGCGGACAGGTGCGAGGGAGTACATCTCCTGTCCCAACCAGCCCAATTAACACATACCAATAACCCATTCTGTAGGCCTCTTCTCACGGGGTGACAGAAAGTTTACTCTGGTCTACGTGCTTGAGAGAAAAGCTGAAATGGTTTCTGATATACAAGATGGCTTCTAGCTAAACATGAAAATGGTTTTTTACAGCTTCTACAAGGGGGACCCTGTGTTTTATCTTCTCAACATTGGAGCATCAGTCTGGATCTGCAGAAGCCCAGCTCCACCCCTCCCTCATCTAACTCACCTGGCTAGTGCAGTTAAGTGGAACAACTATTGGTAACAAGACGCAGTGTGCTTGCATGTGTGCATGAGTGTAATATATCATATGCATATGTTACAGTAGTGATTGATATATGTATTACCAATAAACGTGGCATTTTGCCTTATCCCCCTGAAAAGATCCTGTGCAGTTCTTTAAGTACAACACCATGATGATGTTATTTGTATAGATATGTGGACAGAGATGGCAACGGGGTTTGTTGCAGGGATAGGTTCCTGGATTAGTATTTCTGTGGGTGTGGTATGTGGCTGCTGGTATTTGCTTCAGATTGGGGGGCTGGCAGTGGGTGAGGAGTGGCCTATCTCCCAAGGTCTGTGAGAGTGAGGGATCATTTTTCAGGATAAGTTGTAGATTGTCAATAATGTGTTGGGGGCTGTAAGTGATAACTAGTCATGTTCTGTTATTTTCCTTATTGGGCCTGTCCTGTAGGAGGTGACTTCTGGATACTTATCTGACTCTATTTCTTCACTTCTCCAAGTGGGTATTTTAGTTTTACGACTGCCTAATAAAGATCTTGTAGATGTTTGCCTCAGGGATTGGAGTAGATATAGCTGTAGACAATGGATCATGTGATGTATCCTGAATAGAAGCTAGAAACATGTAGATAAGAATAGCAGTCAGTAGGTTTCCGGTAAAAGGTGGTGTTTATGTATCCATCATTTATTTGTACTATAATATCCAGGAAGTAAGTCTCTCATGGTAGGTCTGAATAAGGATTTAAAATGGTTATTTCATTACAACGGCAATTTCCCCCTCACTTGTTATTCACACCTCCGCTGGGAGTGAGCCACATCTACCCTGACTGAATTAGCCTTCATAACATTGGTCCTGCACTTGATAAGTAACACCCTTCTTTTGATGCAAACAGTACATGACCAGCATTGACCTGGATTTAGGTGTGCAAGTTTTTAGGTAATAGGAATGTGTTTGGGGACCTTTAGAGTGGGTCAAGCAATCCCAACCAGGACAGCCTGCTAAAAAGGGTGGCATGAGCAGGATTTGGATTGGTACTGAAATTTGGATTTGTATTGAAAGCAGGAGATGGCAGGGAGTCAGGGGAGCAGCAGTGCTGAGAGTGAGGAGACCAGAGTTAGGTGCCAGCTTTTTTGTGCATCCAGCTGGATGACCAACCAACTCCTTCCGAGCAGGGGTGCCCTCCTCTCTCTGTTCCACAAGTGCAGTTGCTGCTGTTCCTGTCCCCTGCCCATTCCTTCCTGGAGCTGCCACTCTTGACTGGGACAATCCTCTCTGTTGCTTGTATCTGAACACAAGCCTGCAGGCTCCTGGGCTTGAGTACTCTCTTAAAGAGACTGCACACTCATATTCTCAGTCCTGCACACTCTCTCTGTCTCCCTCTCTCCCAGCATACAACACAAAGGTTCCCTGCATTCATGTCACTCCCCCACCTGGGTTGTGCTGAGAGTCAGCTTTGCTCTGTCCCTTTGCTTGTGCACCTCCTGGCTGCTTGAGGCAAAGGAGCAGCAGTCCAATGGAACAGTGGGCAGCATAGCCAGCTTTGTGCAAGCAGGTGTGTGTTTCCCCATTTGGGTGCAGAAGAGGGATGCAGGGATTAGGGGTACAGAGGATAGGAGTGAAAGAGGTATACATAGTTGTAAGCCACGTAGCCCAATCCTGGGCCCCAGACCTGTGCTCAGGCCCATAAATAAGTGTCCAGGGATCACCTTAGGGCCCAGGCCCTGAGTACACGGCAGGCAGTCAAACAAACAGTTCAACAGTAAGCCCAGGCGCAGGGCGGGGCAGGCAAACAAACACAATTCAGCAGTTAGTAAGCCCAGGCCCTAGTGCAGGGAGATAAGCAAAGCAGGTAAGCAAACAGTTCAAGTGTGCCCAGGACCTAGTGCATGGCAAACAGATAGCAATTCACTGTTCAAGTAAGCCCAAGCCCTGGCACAGGGCGGGGCAGGCAAACAGATCACTGGCAGGAGAGGGGAAGACTGTCATCCAGTATATTTGGTGTCAGGAGGGACGTGGGCCCTCCCTACTCCACTGCCTCCGGGCTGCCACTGGGGATCTGGCTCACAAGATGCTGACGCTACAGTAGGGCCACTGGGGATCTGGCTCACAAGATGCTGACACTACAGTAGGTCAGCCTGACTGGTGTTGGCTTCCTCAGGGCCACTTTCAAATTCCCTCTAAGAATATACCTGGCTCCATGGTCCCAGCAGGTTCTTGGGGTTATTGGGGTCTGAACCCTCAGGTAGGGGTAAAAACATTTCCTTGTTGGTGTAAGGGCTCAGTGGTCCAAGCCAGTCCTCAGCTTCAGCCAGGTCTTTAGAGGCCTCCCCACGTGGGAGCTTGGGGAAGGCCTCTGCTTCCTCTGGCATCTGGGGCCCTAGTGAACTCCTGGGCTGGGCTTTTATACTACTTGCTCTGCCACTTGGATCAGAGAGGGGTTCCTCTCACTTGTGACCAGTATTAATGGGGCTGTGATGAACCCTCTGAAATCTAAGCTATGGCCCCACTTGAAGCTGGTGGTGGACCGTCCATACTGAGTATCCCAAGATCTGCAGACCTAAGAGGTCCGATCACAGTTACTGGTTTTACGCCTCCATTGGATAGACATTTTAAAATTAGCCCAGGATATCCCAGTGGCAGGCCATCTGGGGCAAGACAAAACTCTGGCTCGAGTTTTGAACCTTTGGGCTTCCGTGTGTGGCTATCGCCATGCCCCCCACGGAGCTCTTAACCAAGAATAGCCCACAGTGAGTGTGGTGGTCCCCTGAATGTGAAAGGGCCTTCCAGACCCTGTAGGAAGTGCTGTGTAAAGAATCCATCCTGCTCAGCCCAGACTTTTATACTACTCACCCTGCCCCTTGGCTCCAAGGGAGTTAAAGGGGCAGGACCAGGCGCAGTCCACTCGGGCTCCGAGAGGGGTTCCTCCCCCTCTGGATCGGTGAGCAGCCACCCCAGCTCACTACAATAGTGCAGCAATTAGGGATGCAGGAGATAGGCGTGAAGGGGGCACAGTGCAGAGGTTAGGAGCAGGGGAGGGAGGTGCAAGGGGTAGTACTGAAGGGTGCATATATAGAGGCTAGGGGCACAGGAGGTAGGAGTGAAGGGATATAGTACAAGGAATAGGGGCAGAGGATGTTTTGGAGTAAGAATGAAGGGGGCACAATGCTTGGGTTAGGGGCACAGGAGATAGAAGTTAAGGGAAAACAGTGGAAGGGTTAGGGTGGAACTTTGAAAGTACAAATTATTTAACTTGAGTGGAAATTCGGTGAAAGGGTTCTTCCATGGACCTGCTTCATGCTCCCCTGAGCTAGAGCAGACTTGCCCCCCACTGCTTGCCTCCTCAGTGGCAGACTTGCATTCAGCTCCCAGGCCGTGCAGGACCAGAAATGACGAACCCTCCAACATTTCACATTATCAAAGTGCAGAAATTGAACAGGACTCTTCAGTCAGTGATGGGGAGGCGTGTGTGAATGGTCCATAACAAATCACATGGCAGTAGATTCAGGAGACAGGAACGAACCTCTGGAGTGGATATCGGCATGCGGAAATGCACCCCTTCTAGGTCTCAGCTCTGCTAGCAAAAATAGGGATTTTGCTGGGTAGGCTTCTGTCAGTGCTCCTGCCCACCCTCCTGGTGTTTGTACAATACAGTATTTTCAATTTTCCTTCCACTTGACAAGTCTTAGATTATGCCCTTTGATTGTTTCAAGTGTGTGAGATAAGGATCTTGAATACAGACATTCATTCTTGATAAAAGGAAGAAAATTGTGTGCCTAAGGGAACAGTGTAAAAGTAGCAGTTCACGGTGTTAACAGTCCTATTCTAGATCCCTGCTTTTAACTCTATGAACTCCTTGCCTGTTTTCTCATTTGTTGCCCCCTGTATTTATTTGATCCTAGATCCAGTAGCTCCTCTCCTTAGTCTGGGGGGAGGCCAGCAGGCCCAGGAACTCAACACAGTAGAAAGTCAGTTACAAACACACCAGAAAGGAGGCTGTTTGCTTGTAACTCTGAAACGTTCGTAAGTTTACAACTGAACACTGATTTAATACACCTTTGAAATATTACTAGGGAGAAGATTCTGCTTTTAACTATCTTAAACTAAATGGAAAGAAAGGACAAAAAAAAAAGTTCCTTTCCCTTTTCAAATCTTTAAGCTTTCCCTCTTATTTTTAGTAGTTTACGTTGAACAGAGCACAGTGTTGTACTTGCTCTCCCTCTCTCCCTTCTTCACTTCTGCTTCCAGATTGAATATTTTCGGTTCCAACTGAGAAGTGTATGATTGATTGCACAGTTCAGAGTTTGTAACTGAGATTCTACTGTCAATATAGGGTTAACAGCCTAGTGTCGTCAGACGCTGCAACGTAAGGGCTGGCCTCATGCAGATGAGAAGCTCTCGGCCGGAGAAACAAGCAACCAGGAGGAAATGCACATGTGTGCTGAAATTATTGCTTTCTGAAGCTAAATTACCAGGCAAGAGGTGCTTTCCTTTGACTGGATATACAGGAGATGCTGGATGGTCAAGTACATGCAGGTTTTAGGCAAATATTTGTGAGAGTCTCATTACAGTGCTTAGTACATCTCTCATGCATGTCATTGTGATGTAGAAAAATGTGCAGATAGGAGTGCTGCATGAAATTTCACCGTATTGGTATCGCTTCTCGGCCTTTTGGCTAAGATCAAGTGTAGTATCTGTTCTTATCAGTTTAATATCTGATACGTCCTCTATCTGAGGACTATATATTAAATGGATTTTTGGAACAGGGAGATGGAATAGGAGCTTGCTCCATCCACTCCACGCATCGACCTGGTATTGCAGTACCTCCAGGAACGGTGCACCTCCCCTTGGGGAGACTATTCTGGTTCAAAAATAGAATTAATTTAACTCTCTGCTTCTGCCCAAAGCTTTTGCCTCTGCCAAAAGCTTCACTCTGTTGCTGGTTTTAACCAGAATGGGTCTCACTTCTGCACTGGCTGGGATTTGACTGCAAATCTGCCGCGTTTCTAAGGGGCAGGTCAGCTCTAGCTCAGCTGAGAAAAAGCTGCCATCAGCTCCTCTTGCCCCTGCTAAAAAATTGCTCCAGCACCCCAGGACAGACCTGGTGTCTCAGTTTGATTAAATATTTAAG